ATTAAGGAGATTATTTATTTTTATATAATGAAAATAGATGGGAGGATAAGTGAATTGCGCAAGGCAAGAATATATAGGATGGCAAAAATCAAAAGAAACAAAGATTATGATTTGGGTTCTTAAAATAACAACAACACATGCCTCCTCAGTGGATTTCAGAACAAATATGTCTCTCTTTTTTAAAATTACCCAAACACTATAATGCAAGGAGTTGTAGTGATAGGCTTTGGCCTTTCCTGCCTAGCTTGACTCTCCTCAGCTTTGATGCAATACGTTTTTTTCTGAGGGCTAATATTACCAGACTTTTCTCCTCCAGCTCTACAATTAAAACTTTTGTGGCCAAATTTTCCACATCCCCAGCGTTGAACTTCTTTGGGATTTGTATAATTTGTTTTCCACCCTTTCTCCTCAGTGAGACTGGTGTTGGCTTGGGCCTTGTCATTTTGCCCTTTTGACAATGGCCTACTTCCCTTGTCTTTCTCTGAAGAGGGGTTTCCCTTTGCTGGTTGGAATTTATTTCTGTTAGTCCCCCACACTTTCCCGCCAAAACTTGGTTCATCGAACCTATGGTCCCTTATTTCATTTATTTGGTCAGCTAAGTTAGCGGCTTCTTGAAGTGATTTGAGGATGTCTTTCCTTTATAAGATATTTTAATTGGTCGTTTATTGTTTCATAAAATTGTTCCAGAGCAAACACTTCTCTGATTTTTGGAACAGAGTCTGCCCTCTCCTGTTCTAACCATTTTGTGAGGTAGTTTGAGATTTTCGCCCCAAGCTGAGCAGATGTCTCCTGCCTCACTTTAGTCACACTTCTAAATTTCTTTCTCAGTTGTTCTGAGGTAATCCCAAACCTGGTGTATATTAGTTGCTTAAATATATCAACATTTTTTGAATAGTTCTCCGACATTTGGGCATAAATTTGTGCTAATGACCCACTGATCCTGGCTCTAAGGATCGTCATCTTATCCTCATCTTTCACTTGAAAGTCTTGACAAGCTCTTTCAAATGATATAATGAAAGCCTCAGGGCAAACTTTTTCCTTAAACTCAGGAAAACGCTTTAAATCTACCTTCACTTGAGTTGGACTACTGGTGTTATTACTATTATTTTGATTCTCCGTAGCTGCCAATTCCAGTTTCCTCATCTCCAACTGAAATTGCATTCTTTCTAATTCCTGTGCAGATTTAATCTTTTCCAATTCCAATCTATATTCTTGTTCTAACTTTCGCTTTTCAAATTCTTCAGAGAATTTTGGACCTCCTGCCTCAGGTTGAATATTAGTTATATTTTCTAAACTCTGCTCTTCCCTCTGAGGATTTCCATTCTCCTCTCCTTCAGAGCTTTCATAAGCTGTTTCCCTCACAGGGTTTCTTATCTTTTTGGGTGACATATTGTGTGAGTGAGAACCATCAATAAATTAACAAATAAGAGAAATTTCCTCTCAGTTCTGTTTCTTCTGGCTAGGCTTCTCTCAAGACTCTGGTCCCAAAGTTCTGCTATGGGTTTTCTCTCTAACCCTTCAAGCTCTCCTTCCTCTGACCACGAGCCGAAACCCTCTACCAGAACACACTTTGAGCTCTCTTTCTCTTTGTTATCTTGGCTTTGCGGCTTATCTTGGGTACCTCACAACTACACCCCCGGGCTAGGTAATCCCTTCACAGATTTACCCTTGACCCTCCAGATGTATTGTTTTTCCCACCGAATCCCACCACTTGCCTACCACTTCTGTGGTGACAGGTAGTGATGTTATTCCACCGCAGGTACGGTTGTGATCCCACCTACGGTTGTTATCCCACCGCTGCCACCAATTTTGTGGCGATCACACAGGGCCCCCGGACGTTTGACGGTCTATTGACCCTGTGCCACCACTGTGATTGCTTTCTTTTTTTGCAAATGCTTTTTATTCAGTTTTTTCACAAACAAAATAAAACAATATTTTAGTCATCCTTTTATGTCATCTTATTTACACTGCGTATATACACGCCCAGACTTCCTTCCTTCCCAGCTGCGGTTTTCTTAATATAGATCTTCTCTTACAGATTCTTATTCACTTCTATACACATCACAGGATTTATGTTAACCCTGCTGTAGTTTTTAAACTTCTACAGTTAATTCTTATGTATGCCACAAATTTACCCCATTCTTCTTCAAACTTTGTCCCTTTTTGGTGCCGGATTTTATACGTCATTTTCGCTAATTCTGTGTATTCAAAAAATTTAGCCTGCCATTCCATAACCGTTGGGGTCTCCTGTGACTTCCACTTTTGAGCTACAAGGATCCTAGCTGCTACTGGAGCATATTGGAATAATTTGTGATCCTCCTTTTTTACTTCCTCCCCTATTATCCCTAATAGAAAAGCCTCCAGTTTTTTCGGGAATGTATACTTAAAAAGTTTCTTCAGTTCATTATATATAAAGTCCCAATTTTTTTTCTTCTTTTCACACTCCCACCACATGTGGCCACCACGGTGATTGCTTTCTTGGCTGCCACCACCCCGTTTCTCACGGGGACACACGGAGTCCAGACAGTTGTTAACATTAACAAATAATCAAGTTTATTTTTAAATGCAAGAACAAGCGTATGGTTTCCGTTTATTTTTCTCTTCTCAGTTTCTTAATTTTAGTTCCTAACAACTCCAAACTGATTATTCCAGCTATCTATCTGACTCTCCCTAACAATTCCTCTCACTCTCTCACAATACAACTTGACCAACCCACTGCCTATTCCTCCCTCTTCCTTCTCCAACTCCCAAACCTCAACTGACTTTCAAAACTTTTACTCCCCCCTTGCATTCTCACATTACACCCATTTTTACCCTTTCCTTATGACCCATCCTAGGAGGCAAACGCCACAGCCATACACCCCAAAGCTCACCTGAAGGACATCAAAGCCCACCTGATGTCCCCAAACATATGATTATACATGTGATTCCTTTCAACCGTAAAGACTAAACTGATAGTTTTGTTTTGGGACTTCAGATGGGCTTTGATGTCCTTCAGGTGACGAGGCCTCTTTTTTTTTATGACTAGTATTTTTTTATTTATTAAAGATTTTGTTGATTTACAAAAGTGTGCAATGTCTCTCTCTCGTGTCCCCCCCCCCCCCATGTAACACATTTACAAATCATTTTCATTTTACATTAGGAAGAAAAGGGGAAAGAGGTGGAGGGGGAAAAGATGGGTGGGGTGGCGATTTTTATATTTTACTTCCTATATGTAGGGTTTGGTGTCAGCGTTGTTTGTGCAGGTTCTTTGCTGTTTGCTTGTGTTCCTTTGGTGGTGAGAGAGGTTGGGGTTGGCCTAGGGTGTGGTTATTCATTTGTAGTTGGCTGTGGTGGTCTTTGTTTTCATGTGTGAGTGGGGTGGGTGGGTGTTTTGGATCAGCAACAAATCTACTTATTCCAAGACCTCCCTTAAAGCAGTAGTGGATCACCATGAAGAAGGTGCCACCACCGAGAAGGCCTCTGCCTGGTTCCCTGTAACTTGGCTTCTCGCAGGCGTCTCCTTCATTTTTCCTTATAGCGCCTGCTGAAAACCTTTGATTTCACCCTCCAGAGGCGCACTCCATTGCCTCTCGAAAGAGATGCCCACAACTTCCCCGGGAACTCTGGGAATGGGAGTTCTGGGAGGGGCATAGGGGGTCTCCTAACGGCTCTCAGCACTACAGCTCCCAGAATCCTTTGGGGGAAGCGTTTCAAGGTACCATATGGCTTTTAAGTGGATGTTGGGCGTGTAACGTCAGCTGTCATGCGTTCCCCATCCACTGGATGTCAGGATTTCCTAACAAAAACCTCCAAAACAAAGCCACACTCCTTTCTACCCCCTAAAAAAAGACCATCAACTGGAGAAAATGTGGTTTATCTGCTGGTATGATTGGTACAAGCTGAAGCGGGTGTCAGAATTGTAGGCGAAAGAATTGTAGAACGGAAGAGTGGGAAGGGACCCCATGGGTCATCTAGTCCAACCCCCAGGAATGAGGGAATCAAGAAGGGTCAGAAGTGAGAGAATGGACCCAATATTTGTCAGAATGGACCCAATAATAATAGGAAATATGCTTTTTTTAAGAATAGATTTGAATGCCAGCTCATTCATTCCATGCACATTTTTGAAAGGGGGGTGGGGGGTGGAAAGAGTGAATTCATCACCAGGGGGCTTCCAAGTCCTGGCAATTCACTCCTTGCATTTATTTAATATTTGAAGATTCCTTCTTGCTTCAACTTTGGTTTTGGGGAGTTTTATTTTTTATACAAGATAAAAACACAAATAAATAAGACAACCATAATGATTTAGTTAGACCCTGCCCATCCGGCTGGGTTTCCCCCTCTTTAATTCTAATAGAGCATTAGAGTTCTGATATAAAAGAGGGAAGATAAGTTGCAGCTAAGGGTGGAAAAGAAAAAAAACATCCTAGGAAATGGGATGGGAAGCAGATAATAGAAAAGGGGGGGGGGGGGGACTTACTATGTAACGAATCCTGATGTGCAATTTGTGGAATTTCAACAACAACACAACAAAATATTTAATAAAACCCAGAACAGAAAGAAACCAAACCAATCCCTACCCCTAATCAGGCATTATCCAGGTAAAAAGCAAAAACTAAAGGACACAACTAATTCAAACCCATTCATTCCAATAGGCTTACTCTGAGTAGAATCTCACTGCATTGTCACCAGAACTCCTTGCATTACAGTGTTTGGGTAATTTTAAAAAAGAGAGACACATTTGTTCTGAAATCCACTGAGGAGGCATGTGTTGTTGTTATTTTAAGAACCCAAATCATATTCTTTGTTTCTTTTAATTTTTGCCATCCTATATATTCTTGCCTTGCGCAATTCACTTACCCTCCCGTCTATTTTCATTATATAAAAATAAATAATCTCCTTAATCTCGTAAATTCCAATTATGGTTGGTTAGTTAGTTAGTTCTTCATGGAAATTTTGAAGCTGTGTGCAGGAGGAAGTTGGGTGGGAAAAGGAATGAGGCTCCTTTAAATGAAGAGAGAGAGAGAGAGAGGCAGAACTGTCTCCAAAGAACCAAAAATGTCACTTTTGTCATGGGCATTTTTCTTTTTGCACAACAAGGGATAGAAAGGAAACTTTGGGCAATCTCAGAGCCAGAGAATATGGGGCATCTGTGGCCCTCCAGGCTGTTATAGACTGCAATGGGGGGCAGTGTTGTTTAGTGGTTAGAGCAGTGGACTGGGACTGGAGGTTTCGAATCATGCCCCACAGCCAGGCCATGTTCCTCTGGCCTCATGAGGAGCCTCTTTTGTGGGGCTAGCGAGTCTGGGCCTAGGCCACGTGGAAAGGGTCTTGCAGGGTGCGGCCTTCAGGCCCCACAGCCAGGCAAATTTATTTCATACCACACCATATGGCAGCCATTTTGTCTTTTGCTATGTTCTCATTGGTAGCCAATCGGTGGACTGGCCCATGTAGCACTTTCCCAAAATTGGTCTGGCTCCGTATAAGGCAGCTTCCTCTGTTCTTATCATATGAAATACCCCACTTTGTATGTTAATAGGAGCACAGGATGTTCTGCATTTATATCCTAAGGGGGGGGGAGATCTCATGAGCGATATGTTCAAATGTGTTTTTACGCTTGGGGGGCTGCTGCGTCGCTTGTTCCTGAATCTTTTCTTCCTTCTAAATGCCCTGAAGATCCATTGCACACCTTGACTTGCATGAAACCTCCTCTCTCTTATTTGCTCAGTGAACCACACCAGGAGAAGGAGGAATGAAGGAAAACAGAAATCCGGCCTGAGAACGGAGGTCCCTGTCAAGAGAATGGCCAAGATCTCCTCAGGTGAGGATGAAAGGGGAGGCAGGGAAAAGCAAAGAGCCCCTGAAAACATCCCCCCACTTGGGAAGAACTTGTCGGCCAAACCCCTGCACGGAAGTGTATCTGCATGAAGACGGTCAGCACTTTTCTATTGGATGGGTGTCACTGAGCAGAGTTTTCAATGGAGATGGTGTATCCGGATTAAGTGGGGGAAACAGAATGGGAGAGCATTTGGGTGTGGATGATGTCATGCAGATACAGAACTGGACTTGCGTCTTTGACGGGGTGAGCTCCCATTGCTCGGTCCCAGCTCCTGCCAACCTAGCAGTTCCAAACCACGTCAAAGTGCAAGTAGATAAATAGGTACCGCTCTGGAGGGACGGTAAACGGCGTTTCTGTGTGCTGTTCTGGTTTCGCCAGAAGTGGCTTAGTCATGCTGGCCACATGACCCGGAAAAACTGTCTGCGGACCAACGTCGGCTGCCTCGGCCAGTAAAGCCAGATGAGTGGCACCCCCCCCCCCAGTTGCCTGTGACTGGACTTAAGTGTCAGGGGTCCTTTACCTTTACCTTTTTAAAAGCACTGCACACTGCCATGCAATGTGAAAGTGCGTCATCTTATCAATGGTCACAACTCCTGAAATGAATGGATGGCTCCAATGCTCCATTTGCTGCCTTCCTTCAAACATTAACATTTGTGTATGTTCTAAGATGTTTAAAATAGTCCAAAAGATGACAGCTTTTAATTCCTCTGAATTTGATATCTACTTTAGATTTTTAAAGGCTGGCTCCCAAAGTTATTTCAGGTGAAATAGATGGATTTAGGCCCATTGCTTGGCCAAATGTTAATCACACACACACACACTTCAGTGGAAACTGCATGCAGCTGAGCAGCTCACATTCAGAGCATCAACACAGAAAGGAAAGGAAAGAAAGCAACACAAATATTTTGACTGAAGTGTCTTAGGAAAGCGATTTTAAATCATGGGCACCTAGGTTCTGAAAATGGTGTTGCCCGTATTGGTGTGAGTGATGGGGTCCCATGGCACAAATTTCATGTAATCCCAGTGCAAAGGAAAAGAGCTAACATCTTCTCCCTTACTATAATGTCCAAACAAGATGTGATGGGGAAGAAGAATGAGAGGTTTGTAGGGAGTCTTCAATAATTTTGCCAAGGAGATTCATATGGTTCAGGGCCTCATGCTATTAGCCTTTCTTGTACATGGAGATCCTTTATGAAATGCATTCAGGACCATCAAACAAATCTGTACTGAGATACACATACTGTATTTTTACTGCTGGAACTGCTCTGAATCTGACTTCAGGAAGAACATGTTTTAACTGCACAGTGTCCTGGAAAAGACACTCTGCATTGGGAAAGAAGGGAACTGAGTTCCCTTCCATTTTCCACTTCCTGATGTTCCAAATGACCAGTACCCTGGAGTTATGATTTGTGTTGTTGTCAGGATTCTAACTGTAACTGACCTAAGAATTCTGCAGAGCAGTTGCTGCTGTGGCTGGCCGGCTGCTCAGGCGAACGTCAGCTCAGTGGCCAACAGCTCAGTCTTCTTGAGGCTCAGGAATACCTAGCAAATACCTGCTCTGTTCCTGGCACGCTAGACTCTAGCTGAGGAAAACATTTCACGTAAGTTTATGGATTAAACATTCCGCACTATGCCATAGCTGTGTTTATGCTCGGTGGAAAAGGATAGCTGCAGTAGCAGATAGCAGAACAACGAAACATGAGCAGCTCCCATCCACAACAGGTTGCTGAGGTTCTGGCCATTTTCACAGGAACAGTGCAAGAGTATATTAAATCAGTAGCAGTTTGCTGGAAGAAAGTATGTGTGGATCAGATGTCTATACCTAACCAGGGGGCGGGAGAGAGCAGGGAAACTCTTTCTTTTGCTGCTTCTTTCTGTGCATGGAAGGAAGAATTCAGGAGGGAGGATGTCCTTCAATGACTAGACATGCTTGTTATTCCCTCTCTCACTGCATGTTGTCTTCTCTTTTGCTTCCAGGATGTCTTCCAAGGTCTCCCCTGCTCCCCTCCTCTCCAAACCCCCCCTGCGGGTGAAAGAAGGCTCCCTGGTAGTCAGATGGCTGAGATTAGTGTCCTGCCTCCAGCTGTGTGCATTCCTGATGGATATTATGGCCTGGATGATGTGCATTGCCTCAACAGCCATTGTCAACTGGAGAGTGTGGCGTGTGGAAAACATCAAGGGAATTGGCTCTGGAAACATCTGGATTGGAATCTGGCAGGTCTGTTTTTTGAAAGACCCTTCTAACGACGGAAACTATTATTACCATTGTGAAGAGCTCCATGAACAACATCCAACCCTCCCGAGGGAAATTTTTATTGCTCAGGACTTAATGGCCTTAGCTGCCATTATGAATTCAGCGGCCCTTGGATTACAGTCATTCGCCCTCTACAATGTGTTCGAGCCCAGAAAACATAAGGATTTTCTCTTAACCTTTTTTGGGCTTGGAGCTCTGCTGAACTTACCAGCAGGGATACTCGTCCTGATTTCCGTGATATGGAACATGTCTGCTGTCTTACAAAATGGGGAAATTGACTTCCCTGAAACTTTTGAATTGCCTCAAATTCCCAGCGAGCAGCATATTGGACCTTCTATTTATCTAGGCTATATCGCTGCAGGTTTCCAGCTGCTGAGTGCAGCATTGGTTGGGATGGAGAGATGTTGCATCAGGACCACCACAACAGATACATCTCAAATAGAAACTGTAGTGGTGATTACCCCAGGAAGTGCGGTGAAAAGCGAGAGTCTTACTACTTGTTCAAAGTGTGGTTCTCTGCTGGACCTGGTAATTCAAGAGAAATCCTCCGCAGTGGAGATGGAGGAAACCCATGCGGAAGATCTTGTCATTCCAGAGGAATCCTGCACAGTGGAGATGGAGGAAAGCCATACACCCAAAGCTCACCTGAAGGACATCAAAGGCCACCTGATGTCCCCAAACATACGATTATACATGTGATTCCCTACAACAGGGAGTCGTAAACTATCAGATGCAGATCCACGCAGATCGCTCCATACACGCATAGATCTGCGTGGATCAGGACTTCAGGGATTGTGGGACCAGGTGGGCTTTGATGTCCTTCAGGTGAAGAGGCCTCTTTTTTATATTTTGGTTTTTTTAGTATTTATTTATTTATTAAATATTTTGTTGATTTACAAAAGTGTGCAATGTCTCTCTCTCTCTCATGTTTTTTCCCCCATGTAACATTTTTACAAATCATTTTCATTTGTTGAGACATTAGGAAGGAAAGAGGTGGAGGGGGGGGAAGATGGGTGGGGGTGGGGTCGGGTGGCCTAGGGTGTGGTTATTCATTTGTAGTTGGCTGTGGTGGTCTTTGTTTTCATGTGTGAGTGGGGTGGGTAGATGTTTTGGATCAGCAACAAATCTACTTATTCCAAGACCTCCCTTAAAGCAGTAGTGGATCACCATGAAGAAGGCGCCACCACTGAGAAGGCCTCTGCCTGGTTCCCTGTAACTTGGCTGCTCCCAGAGATGGGGGGGGGAATCATATTTTTTTCCTTGATTTCCCTCTGAAAACTAGGTGCGCCCTATGGTCAGGTGCGCCCTATAAAGCGAAAAATACTGTAATAATAATTTAGTTAGACCCCGCCCATCCGGCTGGGTTTTCCCCTCTTTTAATTCTAATAGCGCATTAAAGTTCTGATATAAAAAAGGTTTGTCCCGGAATATCAGTTCTGGGAGGGGGGAAGAGCTAAGTGCCTTCATGCCCTGCCTGGAAGCTTCCTTGAATCATCCGTCCGGTTTTTGTGGACATCAGTGCATTGGACTAGAATGGGCTATCGGTCTGTTTGCATGACCCTAAGTAATTGTGAGGTTGGGTAACTTGCGATCTGAACAGCAGTGCCATATCCTAGAAAGTCAAACATCTTTTCTGTCTCTTTGGAATTAAGCTTTCCTTAGAATAAGATACATTCTCCCCAAATCGCAGTCTCCCTCTGACCTCATCTGCCACAGTCCACAAAAGTCTGGGTGTCTTTTTCTGTCGACCTTGTGCTTTCCAAACAACTGGCCTCCTCCCAAACCGTAGTGCTTATATACTGGGATGGATCTCGTACACGGAAAACCACAAGAAGAATTCATTTCCGCAGCATCTGTTAACAGCCCCCACCCCAATCTCTGAAAATTCCAAAGAGCTCAATATGGTTTCCAGAACCCTGAGAAAGCTGCAGTTCCCAGCACCTTTAACAAACTACAGTTCCCAGGATTCTTGGTGGGGGCGCCTTAAATGTACGGTGCGGCTACCAGTGTTGCAAAGCAAAGTTCACAGTCCTAAAAAGAAAGCTGGTTTATGCGGGAATATAGGTCCCCAATTAAGGGCTGCTTCAAGCAGGAAGGTGGAGAGGCAGTGCCGCCTAGTGGTTAGACTGCCAAACTAGGACCTGGGAGGCACCGGGGTTCAAATCCCCCACTCGGCTATGAAGCCACATCTAAAAGAGCATAGAAATAAACAAGACGACGAAATTATACAAACATGTCCCCCCGCTTTGCAGCCTCCTTTGAACAGATGTGAGGAGGCTGGGTGTGCCATCCTGCCCAGGGCCGGGCGATATCTGGTTTTCAACGTCAGCCAATGAGCAGGGCTTAAATTCTGCTCAGTTGGGCAGGATTCCAAGCAAACCCATTCCTGATTCAGAAGCGGGTTTGTCTGGATCTATCTCCTAAACAGCCCCCCTTCTTTGTTTTAGCAGGGGAATCCAGTCTCATTCAGGCAGGGGGCTGCCTTGAATTTCCTGCTGAAACCCCCAAGTTGTCCAACTCTACTTTAGCTGAAATCCCATCTTGACTGAGGAAGGGGGTTTGCATTAGAAGTGGGACGGGCGGGGAGGGGGAATAGTTTCTAGCAGCAGTACCTCCCCAGGTGTTTTGAGGACCTATTAGTAATTGATTGATTGATTTTCTATACATACCTTTTGCAAACAGATCTTTTTTAAAAAAGAAACACAGTAAGCCACACATTTCCTGCGAATTATCCCCCATGACCATTGCAAAGCTCACAATAATAACAGTAATAGCAGCGTGTTGGACCTTAACTCTGCCTAGGAAGGAAACAGGGGTGGACTGTCTAAAATAATTGTGCCCAGAAAAGGGTGGTGGTGGACAGGAGAGGTTTAGGAGAGAAAGAGTGGTCCCTCCCTTCTCCCAGCTTAATCCACAGCTAAATTTGATGTGAAATGTGCTTTTCTTTAAAAAAACAAAAAGTCAGCCACAGGGACAGTCTAAGGAACAATATTTTTGGGGGGAGTGGGGAGATAGCTCCATTAGAGTTTCCACACTGGTAAGGAAAATTCCGGGTTGAGAGACTACTCAACAGCCCAGCTTGTCGGGTTACAGGTCCCCCCACAGGTCCATGTGGTCAGTAAAAGAAGGAAATTCCAGCAAGCAAGCAATTTGGAGCAAAGCAGCAGTCAGTAGCCTCAGAGCCTTTATTGTTGCGCAACAGGTTCAACAGCAGCCAGTGAACCCAGAGCATGGGGCCACATTGACTTTGAAAACTTTCCCACCATATGTCAGAATACGGTTTGCACAGCATCATCAATACATCATTGCTACATCACTAACATGTCACAAAAGGGGAGGGTTACACAAGATTAGCATAGGCTGCTATGTCAGGGCAACACCCAAGTACAGTATTAGCTTAGCATCATAGGCAAACAAGTCTTAAGAACCCACCACCCAAAGTACAACAGAACTTCCTTGGCATGTCTGGAGCCGGAGGCAAGTCTGGGGATGAGATTTGGCTTCCATAGGAGAACAAGGAGCCCAGCAATTGTCACCTCTAGGAATTTCCTGGGGCAGGAGGTGTGTACCCATGTCTTCAAGCTTGGGGAGGTGGAAGGGGAAAGAGTCTTTTTTCCAAGGGCAAAATGGTGCTGGAATGGAGGAACTTGGCAAAGGGGTTGATTTTATAGGATTCATAAAGCTTGGTATCTTCCCTGAGCTGTCAAGTCGAAAGGATACGTTCAGGCCTAATATTTGTAACATTTAACAACTTTAAAGATGCCCCCCCCCGGTAGTTTCCGTAGGAACTGCAAATATTTTCTCCGCATTTAAATACAGTTCAGACGTAGACATATTTCCCACCCCCTTTGGTCCCATATGTTATATAGATATGCACTTAAAAACAACCTGGTACATCACAACACTCAAGTCCCTTCCAAGCAAACCTACACTTTCAATTTTTAAAAAATATATAAACCAAGGGTTCTGTAATTTCAATTCCGTGCACAAGAGTGTAGTCCTCATGATAAACCTTCTTTTGGGTTGCGGAATTGCGCTTAAAGCAAACGCGTGCATATGCACATCCCGGGAGCTACAGGTCCCAGCACCCTTAAACTACAGTTCCCAGCTCCCTTGACACACTGCGCTTTCCAGAGCCCCGAAGAAACTACAGTTCCCGACGCCCTTAACAAACTGTAGAGATCTGCGTGGATCTGGATTTGATAGTTTACGCTTTACGGTTGAAGGGAATCACATGGAGGCCTCTTTTACGTGTTCTCTAGCATTTATGTCCTTGTTCCCTTTAGCTTGTTCCTCGTCTGGATTTCTTTCCTATGTGTACTCATAGATGTACATTTTTGGTCAGCTCTTTCATTTCTCTGGAGGAGTGTTTATTGGTAGTACCTTGAATAAATAAACAAATTTGGGATTTTTTCCTTTTAATGTTATAGGATATCATCTTTTAATGCTGTAGGATATCATCAATAGACATTCCTATTTTTTATCATTTTCTGCATACAATTGTTTTATAATTCCTAACAGATTATCTTCGATGTTTTGAAATTAACTCCAGTACATTTGTCCATTGATCTTCATTGTATTCTTTAGTAGTATTTAATGCGATTATAGGTAGAGGAATTTGAGGATTTTGTTGTAGTTTACTATGATTATTGGCTAAATTTCCCAATCTATTAGCTAAAAGATTTGTAATATAAAGTGATCTTTGACTCCCCAATGATATGGACCACAAGCAAACAAAGAAAAACTTGGAAGTCAAGAGATGTGGAAAAATTAATCTCAGTTCAAGATTGTGGCACTCTCCTCCCTGGGTCCATGCAACCAGCTGTTTTGGCACCACTCAATAATGACAGCCAAGACTGAGCCTGCAAGCTCTAAGGTAGCAAGCGTGCACAATTTATTGAAATTGACAACGGCTCCAAAAAATGGGCTTCCAGGAAGCAGTTGTTCAAGAGGCAATGTCCCAAAGAGAAAAGCAGGAAGCTTCAAGGTTGGTGGAGCTTGAGAGCATTAGTCAAGGGGGTGAAATGGTGAGTATCAGGCCCTGAAGTTGTAGTACAGATACCACCTTGCAGCAACAAGAAGCTGGACTTTTTGCCAGCAAAAACCACTCGTTTACAAGGGCCAAGTCACCATAAGAATTTGCGTTTGGAGGGTGTTGCGAAGGGACACAGTGCAGTGTCGTTTGGAACCAACTTACTTCAAAGCCTTCTTGATTTGTCAGCTAGCCAGGATCGACAGACGGAAAGAGCACATACGTAGGTCCTTTGGCCCCACACCTGCCAGAGTAGTTCCCCCTGCCAACATGCTCTCATCTTTGCACTATTGCAATGCACAACCAAATATGAAATAGTGTGCAGAGCTTGGGAGAAGGGCACACGGACCAGGGCGGGAGGCAGGGAGCGCAGGAGAACAGCAACAGATCTACTTATTCCAATGTAGGGCCATAAGAAACCCCCCCCCACACACAGCCATTCTTTCACAGAAAATGTTTATTATTCAAGAGCAGCGAAAAATCCTGTGTTCTGAGTGGGGGGATTGCCCCCCCATGCAACTAAAGAGGAAAGGAATTTGTAACTATGCTGGGGAATGTTTCCTTGCTCAGAAGCTAGTTTCCCAGTGTTTCATAAGCCTTAAGTAGGTCTCCATTTGAGAGGAAAATGTTATTAAATGCAGAAGCTTCCCTAGCCATCAATTGTCTATCTGAGTCCAGTTTTAATTTTGATTTGGTTGGACAGAAGAGTTGTAAGGCTCCTGATATCAGTCTCTGTGAGACTTCCTGGCCTCTTCTCTTGGGAAATTCCAACTCCCCCCCCCCCCTTCCCTCTGTCTCTTTCAGTT